ATTTTTATTTATTTTTTATTGAGAAATTAATATGAATAAGACAGTTTCACAGGTGATTAATAGGACAGTTTTGATAGTCAATACATTGTACATTGTTAGCTTCTTAGTGGTTATCCATAGTACAAGAAGCAGACAGGATATTCTGTCCAAACACTGTTAGTACACTTCTTTCTTCTCATTGAGTTAAGCAAAAGTAGCTGTAAAGTTGTCCTATTTTGTATATATAAATACAAAATGATCTTTCCTTAGTATCTTTTTTTATTTTAATTTTTTTTGTCCTGTCAGAGGTGAATATTCTATTGGCATCTAAATACTGTAAGTGTTCGAATTCAACTAAACAATCTAACACTGTCTAGCAGTCTATAATATCAGTGGGTTAACCTCAGAAGTTATTGACTTGAGCCTTTTACAGCTCATTGTATTAATATGGATTTACTTTATATACCTCATTTTTATACTTTTGTGCTGGGTGGTTAAGACCAAGATATAGCAAGACCTATATAAGGATGTGATACTTTTACACAATGGAGTATTATTCAGCTATTAAGAATGATAAACTCGAAGCCTTTATATTGAAGTGGATGCCACTTGAGCATATACTCATACCTGAAATAAACCAGACACACATGTGTAAATATCATATAGTTTCCCTAGTATAAGAACTCAAAAGAAGAAATACAAAAAGAAAGGTATAATACAAGTAAAAGAAAAGCTGGATCTCGAGTACTAACTAATCAAGAGAGGGAAAGGAGAAGAGCTAGGAAACATGACAATGTCAAGACATTCAGTTATATGTAGAAGACGAGCAATGCAATGATCCTGAGAATCTCCAGAAGATTTTTGAATCTAGCAGTTAATTGGAAAGATTCTCGCCCTAACTAACTATATATATGATACCTGGGAACTAAGCAACTGCACTGCAGATGGTAATCTATAATAGTAGTTTCATGCTTGGAGTGCCTGTCATTCTGGTCTTCTGAATACGGGCTGCTTGTCATGATATGCCAGGTGCTGCTAGGATGTCTCTCGGGTAGATGGTTGTTCAAAAAGAAGTGGGTGGTGAATGAAAGCAAGAGACAGGAAAGGAAATATTGTGGGACTGTCCTGCTTCAACGTTGTATATGGTGAAATTTTTGGACTTATGTGTAAACATAAGAAGTATATAATTCTTTATGTCTATTTTTAAAATATATTCTAATTTTTAAATGTTTTT